GCTGCCCCCTCGGTAGAGATGAAATTTTGCGCGCTTTTTTATCAAAACAATCACACCAAAATCATAGATATCCCATTTTTTTAATTACTTGATTAACATCTAATCGATTTTTTTTTGTTCGCTGTTCTGTCATTTTTCCACCAATGAGTGTGCAAAACTTGTTTGAAACGATCGGTGATGATCCTCTGAAGAAGTTAATGCTTATATCGGCATGATATAACCGATTACAAATATTTTACTGTTCGGTTCGTTAATCAATTAATCGATTATACGAATGAAAATCGGCCATCACTAGATGAATGTGAAACGTCATTTCAAATATAAGGACCATACATAAATAATGAAACAATTTGAAAGGGACCGGCCAATCACAAATTACGTCCCCACGGTAACTGAAATAAACACGAGTGTTCACCGGTTGATTCTAAGTTTGCATTTTAATAAGGCTTTTCAGGTATTGAAAAATAGCAACAGTTTTTTTCTTTATGCTTATGTCATTTACCAAATGTGTTAAGTTTTTTTTTCTTCCAAGCATCCTCTAATTCCTTTATTGTTAGGAAGGCACTAAGCTTACAACTTTTTTTTTCAGCACGCAAATGAAACATATATTTACGAAAAACTTCACTATACGTCGGCAAGTTAACAGAATGGCCGAACGACGGCAGATATTCTCCAACTAGCCAAATGTCAACCATTTTTAACAAACTGTCGTACTATTCTCTATCAGTTCTCTGCTTGTTGTTTTCTTCAAACGCACTACTGATTGATCATACATCCTCAGATCGCATCATTTTTTATACTAAAGCATAGGTAGAAAAAGCCAAGGTAGAAGAGTTTACGTAGAAATAAGTACTTGAGACCGTTGCTTGCCTGTAGGAGAACACTATTAGTGTGTGTTTTTCAATTAATACCCAAAACGAAGCCAGATAAACAATATGCTTTATGCGGGTACTTTGTTGGCACCTCTATAGGGTAGGAATTTAAAAGAAACACATATAAAGGGTTGTCCCGTATTAGGTGGATATGTTAAAAAGTCATTGTACTTTCGTCAGATTGTACTGTAAACTAAACAGCACTAACGGTTGTCCTGTACAATTTTCGGAATTATCCTACGATTTATGTCTGTCTATGCTTCTATTTTACATGGTCTCAGATACTAAAAAGTAATATCATCAAATGTTTTGAAGTTTGGATTCTTAAAAATTCCAAAACACAACATGATGATATTTTCAGATACATGCGTTTGGTAAAAAGTAATGGTTTTTACATACCTAATTTGATTTTTGGACCACCCTAATGAAGAATAATTGGACCACCCTAGTGAATTATTTCGTATTAGATCCTAAATGGTGGTTTAATTCGATATATAAGCAGGTTGGAGACAATTGTGAACAGTTTTAGAAGCCGACTCATCAATCTTATATATTCCATATAGAACTCATGAAAAAAATTCTCCCAGAAAGTCGATTTTTGAAAAAAAAAAATCGAGATAACACCAAATCTCGCCGTTTCATGCATTTTTAACATTTGACATCAAAATTTTTTTTTGATTTCCGAAATTTCATGTACCCCCCACCTCCCCCCTTCGGAGATTTTCGAGAGTGAAAAAAGTCAAACTTTGACGCGTTTGCGCCACCCCTAAATCATAGAGGTAACTCTAAGACAAGTAGGTCTCGAAGAAACGTGCTCAACTTTTTGGCTCACCTCTGGTACTATCTTCGGTCCCAAGCTTGTCGAATCACCCCTCGAAACATAGGTAAAACCAATAACCCCTCATTTTATCTGTCAAACTTTCATAGCGAATCAAAACAAACATTGCGTAGTACTAGAATTTCGACTAGAATAGGGTACGTTAATCGTTTGCTTGGGACCAATAGGCTACTAAAGTGGTGAGCCAATTTAAAATCGTTAGTTTCGTATTGATTGTTGCCTAAATCATGTCCGATTGAGCTCAAATTTTGCATAGGGTCATTTTTCGAGGCAATAAACATTTTGTACATGGTTTGTTAGCGAAATTTGATGGTCAAATTTTTCCCATACATTCATTGGCAGTCTAATGAATAACCATAGCAAAATCAATAAAATTTCTGACCAAAGCACACTACTGACATCTGGCTCCGTGTTCGCGGGAAATATTTAGCTAAGCCATGGAACCGCATGCAAAATTTATGCATTGGTTCGTGTCTGATCCATTCTGAGCAAATTATTTTTATCAGTTCGGATCACTGCAAATTTAAATCGGCCGTTTACGATTTTCGAGCATAAGTCAGAATTAAGTGTAATGTCGGCTCGCATGTCGGTTTGTCGGTGTCTTACCACCGACGAGTAGGTCTCTTTGAAATCAACTCCCTTGATCTGCGAGAAACCTTTGATAACAAGTCTTGCCTTGTATATTTCCACGGATCCGTCCGGATTCAACTTCCGCTTGAAGATCCATTTAGATTTCAAAGGCTTCCTGCCTACCGGTAGCTCGGTTAGCTTCCATGTCTTGTTGATGGTCAACGAATGCATCTCAGCTTCCGTAGCCTCACGCCACTGCTCACGATCGTCGGCCTAATGCTTGTCGGTTACCTGGGATTCAAAAAACGTTTCAGGAAGTACACTGTATGTCATATCAAAATGTTGATACTTGCCTGAGGTTCGGCGCTCCCGCTCGCTGCGCCTGACAACATTTTGCTGCTCTTCTTATTGCGCGGGGAGTGCAGACGAGGTCACCACAATCGTCTCAATGGTGTCGTTTGCACTGTCGTATTCCGTTTCGTCTTCAAAATCATCCTCTTCCAACAGGTTTTCTTGATCTTGTGTTCGGCAAAAACTGCGCAGGTTCAACTTCCGACCTCTGTTCAGTATTTCCGCTACCTTCGGTCAGAAAGAAAGACGACATCACGTGACACAAAGACTTAACCACTTCTCGAATTGAAGATCCGAAATCCCTTCGAACGATCGGAATATCCAACGAAAAAGCCAGGTTCAGATTTCAGATCTCACTTTGATCGCTTTGCCGTGGGCACACGGCACATCACTTTCGCTCCGAACACACGTAGTTTAGCCAGGTCTGGCTGGACACCAGTGAACCGTTCGGGTCACTTGCAAACCTTTCATCGGTGATCGGTTTATCAGGAATACAGCAGTTCAAACAGTCTCCGCCCAAAATCGCTTCTCCAAATTCGCATCAAACATCGCATCAACGATCGTTCGATTTGCTATTTGCTTTCTCAGCTAGACCGTTTCTACTCCAGATTGCACGGCATCGTAGGTAAGATACGCAAGCATCCGATTCTTGCTGGCTCTGGCGGTGCAGCAAGGAATGCGTAAACACCAAATGGATGCGGTAACGGCGTTTCTTAAGGTAGAGCTATCTGGCGAAGAAATAAACATGGAGCAACGGAAAGAAAGAAAGTTTGTCGTTTGGTGAAGGCGTTGAAGCCGAGCTGTGATTACACAGTTATGCTGGATCAAGAAAGGTATGTAGATGAACTACTGGAGCGGTTCAATATGATCATCTGCAATACAGTATCGACGCCCCTGGATCCACATTGGCGTTTGACAAAGATGGAATCAACCGAGCTACAGAAGCGACAAATGAAAAGGATTCCGTTTCGCGAGTTGGTAGGAGGATTGCAGTTCTAGCGCACTGCACACGGCAGCATGTGGCTTATGCCGTAAATGTGGTGAACGGTTTAAGCAGTAACCCAAGCTAAACACATTGGATAGCGGCTAAAAGGATTGTCCGATATCTGAAGGACACAAAATCGAAGAAGCTTATTTTCCTGAAGCAGTCGGAATCATTTCCGAACGATTCAGCAACGTAGATTGGGCCAACGACCTTGAAACCTGTCGTTCTGTAACAGAGTACACATTTCAGTACTGTGGCGGATCAGTGGCATGGAGTTGTAAACGACAACAAACTGTGGCATTGTCGACTACTGAGGCGGAATATATGGCTCTGCCAGGTTGCGACACAGGAAGCTGTTTGGTGGCGTGGATTCCTTGGCGAGATGTTCCAGACAGATTTAACAGTCCCAATCTTCTGTGACAACCAAAGTGCGATATGTTTGGCGGAGAAGGAATTCGGCTATTCGCCACGAAGCAAACTCATTGACCTGAGGCACCACTTCGTACGAGAGCAACTTGAGAGGAAGGCAATCTCGTTGCATCACGTCATATCCGAGCTTCAGAAAGCGGACCGGACCATTCCGGGTGACCGTTTCACTGAAGCTGTTAAGGATCTAGGAATAAATCAAATTCACGGTTAACGAGGGGATGTTTAGTAGGCAGTGAATTTGATATTGAATAAAACTTTTATTATGTCTGTACTACTAGTCATAACTAGAGAGGGTCTAGTATAAGAGAGGTGCGAACTGGCTGGTTTTGAGCCAAACGAACTGTCAAAGTCAGAGCCAATCGAGCAGCGCCTCTTTCCTTTATTTAACGTCGGTCCCTGTTCCGCAATCTAGTGCCAATCACCGACGGACATCGATTGCTATCCCCCCATTGACGGCAATCGAATGTAGGCAGCTTCCACACCTGCGTAGGATATCGCACCCATTCACAACACACATGGGCCGGGACCAACGGCTGTACTTCCCTTCCGAAGGAAGACGTGACCAGAGATTTTTATATGCCTCAGAAAAATCCCAACGACCTCGGCTGGGATTGAACCCAGACCCATCGGGGTGTTAGAAAGCAGTCACGCTTACCACTACACCACCGGCACCGGCTCTCGAGCAGCGCCTATCTTGATTGCTTGGGCAGCGTTACTAGAAATCACCTAAGCATATGTTGCCAAGGCAGTTTGTTTTGAATCCGTTGCTCTCTTATACTACACCCTCTCTAGTCATAACCACACGTGTTTCAATTACGAGCTAGAAACCTATAACCTGTATACATGTGAAATCGGTTCCAATGACTCCGAATCACCCTGTACCTACCTACTGTTAGCCGTCCTCATGGAATGGTAGATTCGTTAACATTTTCCTACTTTTCTCAACCTTTTTCAGGGGCAAAAGCGTGCTAAATCAAAAGTCGGAACTGCAACGGGCGCTCGAGAAGCAAAAGGAACGTCAGGTGCTTGCAGCGCAGAACCTCGCCAAGCAGCAAGCCCAGGAGCACACCATCTCGAACGAGCTCGGTCGGGTGATAATGCAGCGGGCGGCCCGCTTGGAGCAGAAGAACCTCGCCGCGGCCGCCGCCGGGTCCCAACAGGATCAGCCAGACTCGATCAATCCGGAATATCTGAATGCGCGTGCCAAACTGCGCGCCACCCAGGCGGTTTACTCAAAGTAGAGAGAAAGAGCCGAAACCAGTAGTTGCATTAAGATTGATTTTAGTAGGAAAAACACCCACGAATGTAATTTTAGTGTTTTAATGTTTAAGTTTTAACGTCTAGACAAGTGATAATGACATCAATGATTTCCGTTTCTGTTTGTTTTAAAAAATCAATCTGATTAGCAATTATTTTTAAATAATGAACAAGATCAAGAAACAGAATACTGGAACAGAATGTGCTCTAATCTGGGATTCTTAGCCCGAAAGGAAGGAAAAAAGTAGATCCCAATTTTGAAACCGAGTTAAAAAAAAATGCAAACAAACAAGAGAGAAAGGCGAAATGCTTTAAGTAGTTCTAATGAGTTATTTTTGTAATTCTTTTATCTTTTAGATAGTTCGATCTGTTGAATGTATGTATATTATAAGAATAAGAGAGGCAGGAAATTTATGTTCTCATGCGAAGAGAAGGATTTTGAGCATACTAATCGTAGCGAAAATTGTGATAACCAAACAAAACACCGAGCACTTGTTGAAGGCATCATAAAACAAATCAAGTCCTTGGATATCCTTCTTACAAAACGTTGAATGGATTTTCTATAAATTGTGAAGAAAATTACTAAGCATCTGATTACATACCCTACCATATTCTGCTAGTGTTAATGTGGTCTAGTTTGTAGCGATGTAAGAGAATAAAAATTACAAAATCAAGTTACAGAGACGGCCTTCGGAATGGAGCTGATTGAGGAATCGATCGAACTGCTAACTAGAATAAGGCATTTCACACAAATTAATCTTTTGATATTCATAAAAAAATAACTAGCAAAAAGGGTAAACTCTCTGTGAAAATCCATAAATTTTCTGAAAGTACTTCTTTCAGGACAATTTTTCGGTTTTCGCATAGAGAGTTCGTTTGGTTACTGTTGAAATTTAAACAATTGAATCTTAATACAACTTAACAAAAGATAATAATAGAACACCCGCACACACAAAAGTAGAAGCAATGTAAGTTAACATGTCCATTAACCCAAACTACTACAACCTCCACCAGAGAATGGCAAACCTTACCCTGTTGATAGGACACCGAAATCACCGAGAGACTTTCGAAAACCCGAATTTGGCCTTGTTAGAGATTTGTATTTAGATGGAGAACAGACAATTTTCATATATAGGATAGAAACCAAATCGAACCAACCAAGCCACCTTCATCCTACTACTACATATTACGTAATACTACTACGCCTAGTGTGAATGTGTTTCTGGCAGTTGTTCAATGACAATTACAACAAAGCAGTTTATGTGTTGATTACTAATTTTTGCCAGTTGTAGTTTTAGAGCGAAGGAAGTCTATAACTTGATTGTTTGACAGTAGGTACACATACACCAGTCAATGGGATTTAGCATAGCATAGAACATTCAAGCAGATTAACACACGTATTGATAAACGATAATTTAACAACAACCCAAGTTAGTAATAGAATGTGCGTTTAGTGATTGTGAAAAGTTGATGAAACTTTGAGTAACAGAAGAATTATAATAAACCGAACAGTGTGTAAGTGTAGTGAAGCAGCTCTAGAGGGCTCAGTATTTGCAGTCCGTACAAGGGAGAATAAAATATTATTTTAACTGAAAAACTATCACCCAGTGTGGTTTAATTTGATTCGAAAACTTGAACATCCGTTGCCTGAAAATGGTGGGGTAAAATTTAGAACTTAGTTGGAAAATTCAAATGTCTCAAAACTGTGAGCATTTGGAATCAAACTTACTCCATAGAAAGAAAGGATCCTTAATTCATGGTATTTTTCTCACATGTCCTTATGTTGGCCATCGATTACTTTCTAGCTAGAACAATCAGCGTTTGAAAATTTGGATTCAAAAAACCTAATGCATTAACCGTGCTAACATTCTGCACGGCCAATGAGAACAACCTAAATTTAAGTTTTTTAAACTCATAAATCGCATAAAGTGCAGGAACTGAGTGACCAGGAAAAAATTCCCGAACATGAGAAAAGTAAAGATTGGATTCACTCAGTCTCTTGGTAGGGTTAACTACCCCATTTCCGGCCTATTAAGCACAACCCGCACTTAGTATTTCTTAATCAAGCGCAGTTTAGCACCAATGGACTGTTATTATTACTGATGGCTTCCAAATTTATTTACCTTTTCGTATGTACCGTAAGATTTGAAAAAGAGAAACCAATCGTTGAGATATTGTCAAAAGTCTAACATTGCTTCTTAACGTCAAACTCGGCCTACGTATTCTAAACTCGGCCTAACGCATTGAAACGCCAATGAATTCACTTCGGCCTATCGGATGAAGATAAAAATTTATTCGGTCGGAGCGCTTCTTTTCTTTTTGGGAATAATGGGTGCAAACCTTTATATCACGCGTTCTTATTGACTTCGTTCCGTAGCTAAAGTATCGTACCAAACGCACAATTGACTTGTTAACTCTGAAATTATGGATTTATTTCATGTTTTCTGCTCGATAGGCCCAAAATGGGCGATTAGGCCGAAGTAGTTCTCTATCCTACTACGCCTAGACTGAACAACATTTTCGTAAATTTTCCTTATTCCGCAGGAAAACTTGAAGCAAGTTTACTCATAGCTAAGTTCATGCACTTTTGGCGATTATGAGTGAACTAAACTCAAATTTGGGTCTTTCTCATTGGCCGTGTATTTATGTAGTTTTTAAGTAAATGATACCCAAATTTGAGTAACATTTACTCGCATTTAACCCATATATGAGTAAACATTTACTCAGTCTGTGAGTGACCTTCACGACAAATGCACCGAACTCATGTTTGAGTACCGTTCACTCAAATTCACAAATCTAGAAAAACATTTCGAAAGTTCCTATCTGCATTGATCGATTCTCTTCATCGACTGTCTCTTTCGTCAATAACTCAGCTGCAAAACCTTTCCCTGTTGTATTTGACGTTTTGGACGCTAGATAAGAACTTCCTTTATCAAACTATGTGTTAGAATTAGCGCGAAATCTGTTTGCATAGCAGTGGTTATGAAAAGAGAAAGTCGATGAAGATAATCGATCAAAGTAGATAGGACCATTTGAAATGTTCATCGAGAAATAGCGAGAATAAAATGAGTACATGATTACTCAATTACAGTAACATTTACTCATATTTGATATAATATAAACTGATTCAGTAAACGTAACTCAAGTGTGAGTTAGCTTCAATGGCCGTGAAAAATATGAGCATGGGGTTGCGTCTAAGCTAGAGATGTAACGCTTTGCGTGATGTTCATTGACGTTCACTGAGTTCACGACCAATGGCAGTCACTCACAATTGAGTCGAATTTGACTCAAAATTGAATATAGTACACGGCCGTTGAATGTAACTCATAGGGCCCGTTTAAATATTAGTAATGCAATTGGATTTTTTTATAACCCTCCCCCCACGGCATGCACTTTTCTTATTCCTAATACATGGCATTTAACGCATGGCAAGACTACCCCGTTACTCTACTTTGAGTTATTTTACTGATAAATAGACAACTCAAATTTGAAGAAGAATTTACGTACACTCTATTATAGTACCTAATTATGAGAACAATTTCACCCATTTTGAAGTACAGTAGGTTAACCCATAAAATGTGTAAAAAAATACCCATTAATGAGTAACCGAGTAACGTTTACCCAATAATGGGTAACAATTACTCATTTATGGGTAGTAAATTCCCATTAATGGGTAATATTTTACACATTAGATGGGATAACCTACTTTACTTTAAAATGGGTGAAATTATACCCATTAATGGGTACTTTCCAGTTACAGTGTAGTCCATGAGTAGCCTAAATTATTGCGAATTTGAGTGAACGCAACTCAAATTCGAGTTAGTTAATCGGCCGTGTTTGCAGATGCATTAGTTATGCATGGCCAATGAGGATAACTCAAAAGGCTAGTCACTTCTACTCAGACAGAGGTGGAGACATATATCTAAAAACTGCAGGAACTCTGCGCTGAGAACTGTATACACCTATAGGTTACACGCTATTTCAAAACTACCCAAATTTGGATTGAATCCACCCAGATCGGTCAAAACTGAAACTCCCCAGAAATGGGTAAACTGTGTTGGGAGTAACAAGTTGACAAATGAATAAAGTCGATCAAATTCATATCGATGTAATTCGTTCGTCAACTTGTCACTTCAAACACAGTTTACCCATTTTTGGGCAGTTCCAGTTTTGACCGATCTGGGTGGATTCTACCCAAATTTGGTTTGTTTTGAAATAACGTGCAGAAATTTTTCATGCACGGCAAATGAGAACAACCCAAATTGGAGTATAGTTCAAAATTTTGTCTCATGGTTTCCTGTGAAAAACCTAAAAAATCTGCCGGAAAATGAGGAAATTGACGAAAATTTTATTCAGTCTCGGAGTAGTACCAATAGACTGAGTGAATTCAATCTTTACTTTTCTCATGTCAGTTAAACATGATATCAGTTGTTTCTTTCTAAGTTGTAGTTGTTTGAAAGTTAATAGGAAAATGATTTTTAATTAAGGTTCTCTTTCGATTTTTGTAAATCATGCTATTCGAAATGTTAATCAAAATTAAGTTTTTCTGATGACATGGAATTAATCAACCTAATAAAGAAGATAAACGTTAATACTAGCAATAAAAGATTTTTAAGTTGAGTTACACCTTTTTCTACTTACTTTCATAAACAAGCATACGAGTATGATGAGGGAATGCTTTATCATTGGCGCTGGAATCATAAGCCTATATAAATAAATTAATTAAAACTGTTCAAAAATTCAAATGGCGTCACTCAGATATTATTCCAAGATAGTAGATTGAGCAGGAAGTATCTAAAAGATCTCCACAGCTGAACGATGGTTTTAGTAAAGTACTTTTAATATTTAGACTTGAGGTGGATCAAGTATTACACATTCTGAAGATCTTTAACTGTTCTAAAAATTTAAATCACATTTCCAGATATTCTCTCAAGATTAGGTTCTGAAAAATCACCAGCTGATCACAAATTCCAAGAAAGTCCTCTGATTAACTCGCTGATTAATTTTTCAAGACTTTTGGCTGATCAAGATGTCAATCTTAAGATCTTCAGTTCTTCAAAAATAAATATGCCGCTTCTAAGATATTCTCTCAAGATGACAGGTTGATCAGGAAGTATTCAGTGATGCAAAATATCATGACACTCACGTGACACTCGTCTTCGCATCAACCGACTCTCGCTGACAGATCGTTTTGTCACGCAGTGAGAGTTAGAGCTATGGCAAACAACAATCACCAGTAATGGTCGCTGATCACAAGCAAAACGTTACTCTCGCTGCTGATGATGAAAAGCACAACGAAAACTGTGAAGACTTCTGCAGTACGATCATGAGAAAAAGCGAAACGACAAAAGAAAATGAAAACAATGCCTACGCATTCCAAGTTTGTCTCGGCTGGCGCGACTGTGTGAGTAACAAACAAAGCAGGCAATATTAAACGGAAGCTGTTGGTCTCACTCACCAACACACTCACATAAGCAAGCAAAGCAGCAACTGCTTCAAAACGAGCACAGTTGAGTGTCGTGATTGTCGGGAATGACCAGATTGATGATGGTTCACCACCGAAGACGACATTCACCAGTTGCTATTTACTTCTTTCGTCAACTTGATGGATGGTCAGGGAGAAAGCTTCGACGAGCACATTGATAGAAATGTACAAAGCGTTACTACTATCAGCTGTTTGACGATCGTGATTGTGATAGGTCGCAACTCTGGAAGTATTGAAAAGATCTCCAGGTGGATATTAATTAAGTCCCCTGGATATGTGTTAAGTGCTTCAGGTTGATGAAGTCTATTCTGAAGATATTTAAATTGTTCACAAATTCAAACTACGTCCTTAGAAACTTTCCCTGGATGGCAAGTTGATGATCAGGAACAACTGATCGAAGATTTCGATAAAGTCCTTTGGATATTTGTCACGACTCCAGGTTGATAAAGTATTATTGTGAAGATCGAAGATTTTAGTGAAGTCCTGTGCATATCAAGTCAATCAAGTAAGTACTTGGTTTTTATATATCAACATTGTCAAGAAGCAGCTAGCAGAAGTCTAAATCTTCATTTCTATAGCAAAAATCTTCACGTGTCTGCTTAAAATAAAAAAAAGTCTTCAAAATGAAGATATTTCTTGAAATCTGGAGCTCATCCCAAGCAGTGATAGTTTATTCTGCAAAAACCTGAAGTGATGTCTCAGAGATTACCATTTTTGAAAATTTTATTTACTCACTAGGTCACTTCCACCTTAAATAGAATTATTTTCCAAATATTCAGAACAATATGACCCGAACGAATCTAAATTACTCATGGATTCATGGATATAGCATTTCTCCAATCCGTAAATCATTTAAAAATGAGTGCTCATCCCTTACATCCCATATCGTCATTTATTCGTTCAAGACAGACTCATCTCTGACCGCCCTGCCGCCTTAAGGCAGTGTCAAACCAGCCAGCCGTGCCTGATCCTCTTCGCCAATAAATAATTTGCGCGTGAGCCAACAAATGGCAACCCACGCAAAACGTGATTCTTCCTTCCATGTTCCCACCGACCGCATATGGCTCTTCTCCGACAAAACAAAACTCCGGTTTATAAATACATGTGACACGTCC